TGCACTATAGGTATGTCCGTACGCCAAAGTCGTAACGGTGATGTAACAGTTGACGCAAGACCTCGCGTGATTCAATGCAGCCCGTCTACAACCGCTGTGTTCGTGCGTAGTTCATACATCGACATGGGTGTGCAGGTAGTACCGTAACTCTTTTCTGCCTTGTCAAATTCCTGACCAAACTAAGGATGGAGCTTTTGCGCTGCGGTCTGCAAGCGTGTGTGGCTCCGCCCATACCAAGAGTCTTGAGTAGACCAAATTTAGAAAGTTATACTGTATCTTGTTGGCGAGGTGTGCCTTGAAAGAATCAGTAATATTTGTTTGAGTCACATACTCTAGTAACAGAGAATCAAAAAAAATCATTGAATAGTGGTTTGAGACAGTCTCCGATAAGATTTGTTTTGAATTCTTTGGGCTCCTGTCAACAATAAAAAGACCACACTATAGCCGTTAATATTATTCAGTTGAAGTCAACTATATTCAGGAAAGCGAAAAAGCCTATGTGAAAAGAGGACTGAAGCGGGTACACGTCTCTCGATCTGGCATGGTGGTCTCCGACGGGAATTGCATCACCTCGATGGACCATTTTGGACGAATTGTGAGCAGTACCTAAACGCTCGGCCTCCATCGTCTCGATGTGAACACTTCTTTTCCGCTGGTTTTTGGCTCATATTGAGACATTCCCATGTAGAAAGTTGTTGTTTTTGAAGGTGATTTTATTGATTTTCCCGTTTTTCTTGTTCTTATCCATTGAACTGGTGTGTCACTTCGGATCGAATAGGTTCGATTATTCGTTTAGCTCTAGCTAGTCCATTCAATGTGAGTCTTGATTCACCATACTGTAGGCACCTGTACTCGGATGTTGGCAGGATCGCTTTGTCTTTGTACGCGATTCCATGCTTTCTCCACCCCAACCGACTGAGTTTCCCATAAAAAGAGTTCTCTTTTGCGCAAGAGTGACTCTCGTACTTGTTTCGCTAGGTCTCCATCCAGTATGCCACAGTAGTCACGTCACACCCACATTGATGTTCGTATTCGAACCCACCAATTTGTCTCGTCATTTGTATATGAAAAAGCGTTTTGTATTACTGGCGTTGTATTATTGTTAATTTTGAAATGTGTACGCTACACACACAACATAGTATTTACGATTTAGCACAAAAGACATGTCTTTTAGAGAGTTGAGGCAAGGCAGCAAGTCTTCGTTAGG